AATCTCTCTCTTAGTCTCAATGAAAATAAGATGATAGCCTAACAATGGCTTAGAAAACCTAAATACAAATCTAAACACGAACTGGGGCAAAAGTGCAAATAGTGAGAAACTTCTGGGATAAGTTGCAGTTCTTCAAAAGAGTTTTTAGGACTCTCCTGGCGACCACGACCTGTGTCGATCGACACCAAATGGTGGGTGTCGATCGACACCCTGCTTCATAATGCTCTTCGACTTGGTCTTTTCAGCAACAGCTTCAACATAGCTCCAAAAGGCTCCAAAACCCACAGTTATGCTCCAAACGTACCTAGACCTGCAAAGACTCTATAGGACTCGAAAAATACCAAAAAGACTATAAAAAAGACTTATATCATGGTCAAAACCCAGCAAAAACCATGATATATCACTACCCATATACATACTTGGATTATCTTTTTCCCTTCTTACCACTCTTGTTAATCCAATTAGATGATCCTCATCATTATGGGACAGTTATCCACACCTTAAACCAATCCTTCCTTCTGAACCTAAACACTATTGTGAGAGTTGTGAGGCCATCCATTGCATTATTTTTGATTTTATCTTGGAAAAAAGTGTTAGGATTAAGGCTGGAATGGAGAAGCTCTCTTGTAGACACCAGCTTGCATTTTGAGGTTGGTACTAGGTTAGGAGATTGGGAAAGGGTAGTGTTAAGTGGTATGTGCTTTAATTGTTCATATCTTTTAAGAGAAGAATAAGTTTGGGAATGGTAGTATGGGGAAGACAAGTTTATTTTGTGGTTAAGTAAATAAGGAAGAAAGCTCTAAGTGTTAAAGAAGAGAAGGTGCCAACAACAACAATGCTTACAAAGGTCATCCAAAAGAAAAAATCAGACCAAGAAATCCACCAAAGGTGATAAGAATGGCGCCTACACATCAAAGAAGAGCAAGTTCCAAAAAAGAGTCAACCACACAAACAAAGAATTAGAAGTTTCCCCACGTGAGAAGAAAGAATAAATCACAAGTGCTTTGGGAAAGGGTAGATTTAGGAGTTTCACTTGAGATTTAGACTTTATTAGGTTCATCTTTAGGTAAAAGGGGTAGAAGAGAGCTTTTACTTGCATGCCTAAGTGTGTTTTTACCTTTAGAATTTTGCCTAAGATAGAATCATTTTATTTGAGTGATCCCTCGAGTCTTTGAACCCTTATTTGAATGAGATCATTTTCATCTCATAACCATGTCCCTTTAGACCAAATGTTTTTACTTGATTTTCACAAACTTGATTCATTGGTTATTAATTAATGTTAAAGAGTTGGTTGATTTGAATGCTTGTGTAGGCTAAGCTAGAGTTCATTGTTAGTTATGATAGGTATGGCTAAAGCTTTTGAAGTAGAGCAATCTCTATGCATCTTAGAACATGTAACTTGGATATTGAATCAGTTTTTCCATTAACATCTTTAGTTTTGAACTCCCACTTTCAAACCTCTCTATCTTATTTGTCATTGATTGCTTGAGGACAAGCAAAAGTCAAGTGTGGGAGTTTTGATATAATCATTATTTACACCATATTAGCATACATTTTGCATTGTTTTATAGTCTCTAAACATGCATTTTTGCTCGTTCTTGTCCCATTTGCACTCAATTAGGATTTAGTGTAGATTTAGGATGTGCATTGCATGTTTTGTGCATTTGGGAGTTTGGCAGGTATATTTGGAGAGTTTTGAGGCTACAAGGAGCATGGGAGGTAATGGTAGATGCAACACAAGGCATGAAAAGAGCCAAAGGAGAAGGTGTATCTTGCTGAAGCTGCCATAATTTTTTTCTAAAAGACCAGCTCGGATAAAGCATCTCCATCCCGATTCAGCTTCAGAAGTCTTCATTAATGTTGTAGCTTCTTGAGTTATCTTGCGTCTGGAGTTGGTTTCCGGTCATTCCTATCAGCGGTTAGAATGTTACAGAAGTTTTCGTGAAACCGCTTAACCTGTATCGACCAATATGTCGCTCGACATCAAGCAGCAGGAAACAATTGTCGAGCTTGGTGGAGTCTACATCGCACGACATCTTACACCCGAGAAAGTAGGAGTTCACATCAAGCATCAATGTCGAGCAAGGCAGCTTGATGTCAGGAGACAGGACACCGCTGTTATGCATCCACATCGCAGGACATCTTTGGCCAGGAGCAACAAAGAAACACATCAACCATCCACATTGACCTAACCAGCTCGACATCCTCCTTTTCCCAGTCCAATTATTTACAACCTTGACACTCTGCTAAGGAACTTTTTGGGATCATCTCTTGACCCAGCAGTTCTTCTTTTTTTTCTCGATTTTGAATAATTTTGTATTCTAATCTTTGTTTATTTCAATAAAAGTTTGCATTTATCTTAATCTTTTGCCTCTCTAATCATTTTTATCCCTTTCTCATCTTTGGGTTTTATGGGTAAACTCATGATTAGTGAGTAGTTTATTTTATGTTTGAGATTAAGGCAGATAGGGTGATTTTAGTGATTGTTTAGGGTGATTAGGGCTAAGATCTTCTCATTCCCTTTCTTATATGATTGTGCTTAATGCTTAGTACCTCTTTGTTGGAGAAGTTGATCTTAGGTTTTCACATGAACACTATGTGTTTGATGAAATGCCTGAATGAAGTTCAATGCTTGAAAATGGTGTTCAGATAATCATGTGTCTGTGTACCTATCATTTCTTGCTCGAATGTGCTTATTGCTTAGTACCACATTGGTGGAGAAATTGCCTTTAGACACTGATTATGCATGGGAATGTGAATTGATGTTTGATCTATTGTATAAGAGATTAGTAAACCCAACCTAAGGGATTAGATGTCTAGCATGCTAATTGGTTTTATGGAACTTGCTTTTAATGTTTTAATAATTATAATTCCACCATTGAAAGTGGATTAGGAATTGTGATTAGTGAAAAGGATTATTGCCAAGAGATTGAATTAGTCTTTATTAGTGTTCCTTACCTAAGGTTGAGTGTTTAGAATTGCTTGATTTGATCACTCTAGATATAAACATGAATCACCCTCTCACCATTACCTTGATCTTGAACCATCTTTTAGTCTTTGAAGTTTAGCTTTTACTCTATTTTTACTCTGTTTTTCATTGCTATTATTGCTCCTTGCTTGCTTTCTTTTGTTTCTTTGTTTGTCTTTAGGTTGTTAGATAACAAAAACCTCCCCTATTAGCTTAGCTTAGCAAAGCTCTCGATATCTCAATTGTCATTATTATCCCAAGTGGATGGACACCTCAAGTACTACAATAACATTTGTGTTTGAGGATTGATCAAATGATTGAAAAATCTTAACATCAATTACTAATCAATCAACTAAAAAATTACATTGATTTATATTTACCATATATACAAATCTAGAGTAAAATGTAGTTTATTACTGAGGTTATTAAGTAAATTTACATGTAACTAATATTATTGATTATTTTATGCTATACTATATAAGAAGTTTTTGACATCCTTTTTCACTCATCATTTTATAACATAATATCTTTCCAAAGATTTCAAAACTTTAGTTCTCATAGCATATTTGAGGTCAATTTTCTGAAGTAAAACATTTCAATTCATGTGAAAAATCAATGTAAATCAAAATATTTTCTATTTATTGTCTTATGTTTATTTACATCTATACAACTTATTAAGAATGCATAATTTATAAATATGCAGGTTTTCAATCAACACTCTTTGATGATATTTAAGTATAATTGAAAACTAAAATATGCTTTAAAACGTAGATTCATTAGCAAATTATTTTTTTGTTGTGGATAATGTTTTTTTAATTAAATGTGTCTAGCAACATTTGTTGGTATTTTTTGGTCTTTTTATTGTGTTATTTATATTAAATATATAGTTATTGATTTGCTTTAATAATTTAGTCGTGTTATATTTAAAAATTTGAGAAAATGCTCCAAAATAATTCATAATAAGAAAATAATGTGAAACAGATACTCCATAAAGGAAAACTTGCGAAAATGACCTCTATTTTATGGTTTTTTAAATATCAGTGCTATCATTATAACTATTTTTACTTGTAGCCTAATGTCAGACTACTCGCAGATCGATTGATCTTAAGTTGAATGTAGACTATTGGCAAACTATCGACAACTAAATACAAATTATTGGCACACTAACGACATATTAAAAGCACATTAGTAGATCCCTCTTATGAATCATTTTAAAAATGGTCATATTTCGTATTAAAATTATCTAGTGGGTTATTTCAAAAGTTATCCTTTTAATTTTTTTCTTTGTAGTTAATTTAACAGTATACATATTCAACTACTTATTAACTTAATTATTTGATTCTTTATCATACAATTTATTTAAAAAAACTATTATTAATATAACAGATTATTGTATAAAAAAATAGTGAACCAAAATGTATTATTTTCATATAACTTTCAACTAAATAAATAATAAATTTATCACACCGCGTAAGGTGAAGATTATTATCTATTATAGATTTTAAAATACAAAAACCAATAACACTAAATTTCGTTTAAATTCTTAAATTTATTAAAATATTAGAACAAATAACATCAGTTTAGAAAGGAGAGAATTTGTTTTGTTAATTTAGTAGGAGTTATTGGTTCTTGTATTTTGGTGGATTTATAAATCTTCTTTGGATTTGATAAATTTATTGATTTCAAAATCAGCAAAATAGAAAAAAATCAAATCCACTCAAATACCAAGATTGGACCTTGTATTTGGGTCTTTGTATTTTAGTCATGAAAATCCTTCCAAATCCATTCAAATTCAATTAAAACTCAAATCCTTATAATATTTAGATTCTAAAATGATAGAACCAATAACACTGTATTTCATTATGGATTTTAAAATCATAGAACCAATAATACTGTATTTCAATATAAATTTTAAAATACAAAAACCAATAACACTGAATTTGGTTTGGATTCTCAAATCCATTAAAATACATGAACCAATAACACCTCCTTAGTCTTAGACTTTAATTCCTCCTTGACCCAACCACTACTGGGCCGAGCAAGTCCATAATAAGGTTAATGGCTCTCATGGACATCCCCTAATCGCTCCACCTCCGCTTGCCGGAACTTAAGAAACTATGCTCTGAGCGTTTGCCATCGAAATCAAGTACCAACAGCTCCAAGAACCAGAGGTTCGTGTTCTTGTTCATTGAAATACAAATTTGAAAGCAATGCCGAAAGATTAGTTTTTGAGGTTTGGGTTTTATCCAATATACTCAAATCATGATTTTCTGTGTGTTTGATTTTGGTCACGTGAAGATACGGCGTGTGAAATGTCTTCTGGTATGAAAATCATAGAAGAGCAGCAGAAACCGATTGAGAAGCTGCAGATTTATCCAACATCTAGCTCTGGTGTTTCCTCTTTCTGGCGAGGTTCTTAAAGTTTACATCTTTAGCTAATATGATTTTGTATTCCGAGAGATATTTTGGCAAAGTTTTCCTTATATTCGACTGTTTAATCTCTCAGAGAAGTATGAAAGAGATGCTAAAAAGTACTGGGATATATTTTACAAGCATCATGGAGACAGGGTAAGGCTATTTGTCGCTAGATTTATTTCTCAAACCACATGTGACTGATCTAAATAGCCAATACTGATTTGTGTAAGAGTAACATAGGTGGGATTCACTTTTGCTTTGGTAGCTTAAGGTGTAAAGGACTCTTCAAATAATTGTTAAAAACCCTCTCGTTGATGATATGCTCAATACATTATCGAACCAGAGCTATTTAATTTGAGTTTAGCTGAGCTTTATAGTTATATTGATCATTTAAGTGTAACATTGGCTGGTACTTGTGATTTGGTAGCTTAAGATGTAAAAGACCCTTTAAAAACACGTTAAAGACCCTCTCTTTGATGATATGCTCATACATTGTCTAGTAAGAGCTATTGAAGAGTTTGGGTGAGCTTAATTGTTATTATTGATTCATCTAAATGTAACCTAGGCAGGATTCAGTTGTGATTTGGTAGCTTAATATGTAAAGGATCCTTCTGAAACCTGTTAAAAATTCCTCTCTTTGATGGTATGCTCATGCATTATCTAAATTAGCTGTGTTTCCTATTCTTCGTTTGTAGTGAATATGTGGTTAGTGATACTAGGTATTAACTAGAGCTATTTAATTTAAGTTTAGTAACTTGGGAGAAGAGGAAATATGTTTGAGTTCTTAGCGGATCTTGTGTAAAGTTTCTTGATTCCAGTTTTTATCAGCAATATAATTCAATGTTCCTTTTTACTTATATACAAGGTTATATCACAAAATTGCCATTGGTGCTTTGTGAAAAGTGAGAGTGAGCTCACTATGCAAAGGATGTTACTGTACTTCATATGATATTTTCTTGTTCTGCATCAGTTTTTCAAAGACCGGCACTATTTGGACAAGGAATGGAATAGCTATTTTTCCGTGAGTATTAAAGCTAATTCTTCTGGTATCTGCTGCATTACCTATTCTAGTATTCATCCTTAGTCTTGTTCTCGTTTCCAGGCCAGCGAAAAAAAAGTCATTCTTGAGGTAATCACAAATACTCAAACTGTTCCTTATCTAATCTCTAATTATTTTGTTGCTCGTTAGATGAGTAGCTTGTGTGGAATATTCTTCTGAGCAATTGGTCTTGATTTGCAGGTTGGCTGTGGAGCTGGAAATACTATCTTTCCGTTGATTGCCATATATCCACACATTTTCGTTTATGCATGTGATTTTTCACCACGCGCCGTTGATTTAGTCAAGGTTCGATAATCTCTACTTTTCTAGTGAGGTTCATTTATTCAGCTCTATGCTTTAAGCTTTTGTTTCTTAGATATAACTGATCTTTGTGTTTCTTAAGAACATTTAACAGGTTTACCTAAGTTATGCCTGTGAGTGATTACTTGTTTTATTCACCAAGATATCTAGTTTTTAGTTATTCAAATGGAATAGTGTACTCTGTGATTTGTGCTTCACAGCTGTTTTGTTACTTGCATCTATCACAACTTGTCTTTAAATTCAGGCTCATGATGAATACACGGAGACGCGCGTGTGTGCATTTGCTTCTGACTTGACCCGGGATGGTCTTGAGAAGCATATTTCTCCATCTTCAGTTGATATTGTGACAATGGTAATTTTCTAACAACAGTATATTAATGTGTGTACTAGCTAGAACTTAATCTATCTTTTGCTAAACATTTCCCTCTAATTGCTCCCATGTTTGAGCCTTTTTCTTTCTCATCATGAACATTTCTCATGTTAAATACTTGTTGAACAGATATTTGTTTTATCTGCGCTATCCCCAGAGAAGATGCCTTTAGTATTGCAGAACATTAGGAAAGTACTTAAGGTATTTGACCGCAACATTTCTGATGTATTTTTGGGCATTCATCTTTCTCTGCAGGTCTCTGAATTCTCATGTTGAGTTACTTTCTTATTATTCTGTTTTCAGCCAAACGGGTGTATACTCTTCAGGGACTACGCTGTTGGTGATCTTGCTCAGGTTTGATCCACCTTTTAAAACTTCCAAAGTTAGTTGATCACTTCTCTGTTTTTCAATCTCACTAGAAACACCAATCTATGCCCATTTTGATGCGCTTGAAACGAGTCTCTTGAACTATAAGTTTTAATCGCAAAAACATAAGTAACCTTTACTACAATTTCATTGAGAAATATTAAAATGAAAAACTCTACTCTGGCTTTTATGTGTACAGCTTCACCATCAGTTCCTACAAAGGCATACTCATTATGTGTTTCGGTATATGTTTTAACAGGAAAGGTTTTCTGGGAAGGATCAGAAGATCAGCGAGAACTTTTATGTCAGAGGTGATGGCACTGTAAGTTCTTTCTTTCTTCTGCTTTTTCAAGCTACTTCTTTGCAGTACACATTTCTATTTAGACAAAACACTGATGATTTTATCTTTTTATTGCAGCGTGCATTCTACTTTTCTAATGAATTCCTAGAAACTCTGTTTTTCGAACAAGGCTTTGAAGTTGAGGAGATTGGTGTTTGCTGCAAACAAGTTGAGAATCGTTCACGCGAACTGGTCATGAATCGTCGCTGGGTCCAAGCTACATTCCGTCGATCAAATGCCAACAAAAGCCCTTGTGATAGTGCCAAATTAGACCAATCTGAACAACAGAATAACATCCAGCCTAAATCTGAGGAGCAAGAAAGAAAAAAGATCGTCGATGATACCGACATTGACATATCCGATGGTCTTGCGATGGAAATGTTCGAAGCCTCCCCATCAAGTCATGAGGTAAAGAAACTCTAGTAATTTCGTTGTGTATGCATATCTTGTCCAACACTATGTTCATCTCTGTCCTTCTTTCCTATTGCTTTTCTTAGATATATGTGGTTCAGCTTAGGAATTCGGCTTTCGAAATCAAACTTTTGTCGAAAGAGTATCAACATACTTGCAAATCTACCGGATTGATGCTATGGGAATCTGCTCGGCTTATGGCTTCTGTTCTTGACAGGAACCAAAACATTGTTTCCGGAAAACGGGTTTTGGAATTGGGTTGTGGCTGCACAGGGATTTGCTCGATGGTAGCCGCGAGATCCGCTAGCCTCGTGGTAGCTACCGATGCAGACACAAAGGCGCTTACGCTATTAACAGAGAACGTCACAACGAATCTTGAATCTTCTTTACTTGGGAAACTGAAAACAGGTGTTCTTGAATGGGGTAACAAAGAACATATAGACGGTATTAAAGGGTTGGCTTGTGGAGGATTTGATGTTATCATTGGCACAGATGTTACCTATGTAGCTGAAGCAATCATACCTTTGTTTCAAACCGCAAAAGAGTTGATGGGAGACTCAGAGGTTCAAGAAAAGCCGGTATTGATTCTATGCCATGTTTTCAGAAAGGTTGATGAAGGTTCTCTCTTGTCAGCTGCTTCTTTGTTTGGATTTAAGCTTGCAGATAGATGGTCTGTAAATTCCAGGGAATTTCCTATTGGGAACATCATTGATCGTTGGTTTTCGGAAAAAGATTTGGTCGCGGAGATCCCGAGCTCTGCGTTGCATATTCTGTACTTTCAGATAGAGTAACCTAACCTTGGGGTGGAGGAAATGTGGATTATATGGCAGGTTTTTGTGGTTTGAGCTTTGAATCTTTATCAATGAATGTTCTAAATATGTTCCTAATCAGTGTGGATTGCGTTGAGTGGTCTTATTTTTGTTATCTTGTAAGAATATGGCCAGTTTTTTTTTTAAAAAAATTTTTTCTACAAACAATCATAAAGTAAATCAAGTTTGGTTAAATGTTAGCGGTTTCTAAGGATCCGCTTCCATTATCCGGATCTGATTTATATGGGAGAATAAAAAACCATATGCTCGTGTCCTTTTAGGTACAATATCGGCACGGATATATCAACTTATATTAACTAAGACGGATATACTGAAAAACACATTCTTCAAAAGAGGTTCTAAGCATACATAAATAGTCATAGTCTATCTCTGATCTAAAATAGAGATATAAAAGCTGGCCAGTTTGCAGAGTCTTCGATCATATGGATTAAGTTCGAGCAGTCGTGTCAAAGCAAACCCTTCTCTCAAGCATGCTATTGCCTAAAGCAATCCATCTCCGCATGAATGAAAGATAAACTTCTTCTCCATCCTTGCTATCCGGTGGTGGTATATCCCATCATGCTTATCCAATTTCACCAACTGACCCATAATCGACCCAAAAAGCATCAATCTCGTAAGTCGGAATTTGCGAGACCATACAGGCCTCTCCATGTATGTTTGGGCCATGCCTCCTCTTTCTCCTTGTCCAGTTCTCTTTCATTTGTTTTTCTCCAGCTTTTCTACTTCTTATGTGGCATACTATAGAGTGTTCAAGAGCGAGATGATTTTCCCATTAAAAAATTTGTCATTTCTTATAAAATGAAATGAAATATATTTGGGGGGTGGGGTGGGGGTGGGGTAGGGTTAAGAGAGTTTCCTTTTTTCAATTCTCTATTAAAATAGAAAATTTAGGTTTCCATGTAATGATAAATTCGGGAAACAACGTAGAAGGGACGAAAAAAAGTCTAAGAGAGCCATACTTGAAGGGTAAGGGGCATTTAAATATCATATGATTAATGATTTCTGTGGTAACCCAACCCGGTAAACCGTACCGCGGCTGTGTTCCACTACATCCTCTAAGTCCGTTTCTTTACTTAGCCATATTTTTAAACTTTTTCTTCATTCTTATTCTTTCTTATCAATACACAGCGGAATATAGATCAACTCATTTCATTCATTTAACTTTCATAAAACACTTAAACAGGATTCGGGGCTAACTTAAACAAATCACAATGGTTCGCTAACGAATACAAACGTTCATCTAGCAACCTAAATAGTCAAACACCAAAGCCATAATACAAAGCACAACGTCTTAAACATAAATCAAACCCAGTCCCGATCCATCCATATTTATCACTACCGCCTGGTCTCGCCCTTTTACTGCTTAGTACCTGCACACTCAAGATGAGAAGCATAAGTATTTCATAAATACTTAGTGAGTACGGTCATCCCGTAACACCTGGTCAGTACCAAACACGCAATCATACTTTCGGATTCAACATTCAACACAATCAATTCGCAATAGACATAACAATATCAAACAGCCATGAACATCTAGCCTAACCAGCCAAGATCAATCCCTTTTTAAGACTCATGTCTACTTCAGCGAGAATCCCACGTCCCCTAAGCTAGTACATGATCCGGATTACCCTGAGGTTAGTTAAACATCATATATGCCACGGTAAACTCCACAATATATCATAACATAAAGATTGCTTATCAGTTCTAAACGCATAACATGAAAATCACACAATCAACATGCAAACATTCAACTCTAGCAATCCTACGGTCCTAGACACCAACCACAGTCACGCACTCACCTTAAACAAGGCTGGAAACAGATTGGTCAGAAGAAATCCCGATGAATACCACACCAAAACAAAGATATCCGATCTCCTTAAGAATTTCTCGGCTGTCCGTACGATCCGATCCTTATCCCCTCGGCTATCTCTCGATTCGTTCACCTTTCTTCGAGCCAAACTCTGTTTTCCCTCAGAAACACCACAAAACAAGGCTATTAGCTCGAGGTTATCCGATAAAAACTCAACACTAAGGAAAATATCCGATCGCTTACCAATTTATCTCGGCGATAACCTGATCTCTCTCGGATGTCCTCGGGATAAACTGTTTTTCTTAGGGTTTTCTCTTTCTTTGCTTTATTGCTCTCGAATAAACACAACTCTCCCGAGAAAATTCTTAAAATCCCTTAAATACTCGCAAAACCCTAGGTAACCCGCACTTATCCGACGTTTTCCTGGTTCCAGTAAGTTTTATCCCGGTCCGATTCGATTCTCTCAGCTATTCCCTGTACCGGCTTGACCATTCCCTCGATAAACCACAAAATAGCCGACCAAACACTTGGCCCACGGCCCAAATCCCTTTCCACTCGGATAAACCGCCTTTATCCGAGGTGTTTTCCATTTTTCACCCGGATATTCACTTTTCTCTCGGACCACTTGTCCCACCTCGGCTAATCCTTACTTTCTCTCGGAGGTTTTCCTTTCTCCCTCGAAGACAGTCCATTGACACTCGGACTAACCTCCCAGACTCTCGGATAAATCCCACTGCACCGGGATAAACCCCAATTCCCACGGACTGGACCCTGTTTTCCCTCGGATATGGTCCATCCGGCTCGGCTATCCAGCCCATACCCAACTATTTCCTCGGTCATCACCTGACCATAATCCGCACCTCCATTTCCCAGCCAATATCCGACCCTTGGCTTGGTCATTCCTCGGACAATGCCCTGTCCGGTACGATCATTCCACATTTTCTCGGATACGGATGCTACAACTCTCCCCCACCCGTTCTGGATTCGTCCTCGAATCCGAATCATCCGTTTGCAACTTGTCAAACCATTTGGGATACTCAGCTTTCATCCTAGCCTCATTTTCCCAAGTAACCTGTTCATGCCGTCGCAGTCCCATACGACCTGAACCATTCTGACCAGCTTCCCACGCTTAGTCTCTTCTTTCCGACCTAACACTCGAACCGGTCTAGCCACTACTGCAAGGTCCTCTTGCAAGTCTGCTGGTGGTTCCTCTATAACCGTTTCCCGTTCGGTAATGTGCTTCCTCAGCTGCGACATATGGAATACATTGTGGAACGCTCCCATTTCTGATGGCAAGTCCAACTTGTAAGCCTTTGCGCCAACTCTCTCCAGTATCCGGTACGGCCCCATGTACCTCAGATTTAACTTGGCACTCTTAGCTGCCCTGTCCGTTCCCTTATAAGTCAGTGCCTTCAGATAAACCATATCACCCACACTAAACTCCAGATCCCTGTGATGCTTGTCCGCATAACTTTTCTGCCTGTCCATAGCCTCTTTCAGCTTAACCTTTAACAATCTGATCTTTTCTGTAGTAGCCTCGACCACTGCTAGCCCCATTACGCTACGCTCCCCCACTTGTGTCCAACACAATGGTGTCCTGCACGGCCTGCCATACAACGCCTCGTACGGAGACATCTCTATGCTCCTTTGGTAACTATTGTTGTATGCAAATTCAGCCAACGGTAAGTAGTCTTCCCAACTACCGCCCCAGTCCAGTATACACGCTCTCAGCATATCCTCCAATGTCCTGATCGTCCGTTCTGATTGCCCATCAGTCTGAGGATGATACGCTGTACTCATATGCAACCGCGTCCCATACGCTTCCTGGAACTCTTTCCAGAACCTCGAAGTAAACTTCGGATCACGATCTGAGATGATACTCACTGGCACTCCATGCAACTTCACGTTCTGATCAATATACATGTCCACCAACTTTGGTACTCCGTCCGTCTTTTTCATTGCTAAGAAGTGAGCAGACTTGGTCAAACGATCCACAATGACCCATATCCCGTCATGCAGCTTCTTAGTCTTAGGCAATCCTAGTACAAAGTCCATGGTGATCATGTCCCATTTCCATTCCGACATTGGCAACGTTTGCAACAAACCACTCGGAAACTGATGCTCTGCCTTAACCAATTGGCACGTCTCACATCCGGCTACCCACTTAGCCACATCTCGTTTCATCCCAACCCAATGATAGTACCTTTTCAAATCCTGATACATTTTGGTCATTCCCGGATGAAAAGAAAACCTTGACTGATGTGCCTCCTTCAGGATCTCATCCCTTAACTCCTTCACATCTAGAACACAGACCCGTTGATGTTACTGCATATTACATACATTTTGCATACACATTAGTTAGTTTTTCATGCATTTACATCTTATTTTAGACTAGATTGCATCACTTAAAGTCCTAGAGCATTCTTGCACCAGCATACGCATGTTCCTTGCATTTTGCATCACATTCAGGTTGCTTCTGGCTACTTTGGAGTCGTGGAGGTTCGTGGACGTGCTGAAGCTGTTGTAGCGGTTCGTGGAAGCTCGGATATTTGCTAAGGACCAGAGATCGGGGAACAAATCGAGCATGGCAGGTCGATCTAGGATGAGATCAACCAGAAGATTGAGAAGACCAGGCGATCCAAGCGCATGACGAGAGAAGATGTAAAGATGCTAAAATAGAGGGCCTAGGGTTGAGATTCATGGTCAGGGGTTTCAAAGATCCGAACTTGGGTTGAAAACCTTAAATCGACTCACTTTGTGAGAATCTCTAAGCCTTGAAAACGAAATAAGATATATCTGTGGCTTTCGGTATAGATCACTCCTTCATCCTCTCCTCCAAACCCATGGCTTTTGGTGGAAAGAGAGGTCGAAGGGCAGGAAAAACAGATTTCAAACGAGTGGCTAAACTAGTCCCCCAAACTTCCATGGCTTTTGGGAAGGGGTAACTAGTCTCTAGGGTGTGATCTTCAGAGGTACCTGAATCTTGTCAAGGTAAGGAACCTCTCGGATCATAAAGCTCTTGGCGTGAGAGTCTTTAAGCTTTGAGAACTCGACACCCTAGAAGAGATAGCCATTAAAACACTAGAAAACCCCAAGATCGAAACCCTTTTAATCCCTTAAATCCTCTCAACCCCGATCCCAAATGAACTACTCACTACACATAAGATAAATCAAGCAAAGCATGGAGAAGGAAACGATGAACATGAAAAGAAAACTAGATTAAAGTCAACCGATTCGATTACAAAAGCAAGAAAAACTCAAGATTCGACAATGGTGGATAATCCCCCAAAACCAGAGAGAAAAGCATAAAGAAGATAAGAATGAATAGTTGTGTGGGAAAAGGACGTCGCCGCCTTCC